AGCGTATGAAACACTTCAGAAGTCTCCAATGTCATGCATGCGCCACCGTCTCATCACCAATGGCTTTTGTTATTTGTTGATATATTTTCCTTGAAATAGATACTACCGTTAATCACTTCTAAAACTAGCATCACAATTCAACGCTCTACAACATAAGGCTCATTCAAAAAAAAAAAAAAAAGACGCTATGAGATTAAACAGCAATATTTTGAATTTAAAGTCAAAATACTATGTGAATAAACTCAAAATATTAAAAGGAATTAAGTTGAGAAATTATGACAATAAAGTCGAAGTCAGAAAATATTATATTAAGACTTTTTTCTTGTAACTTTTCCGTAGATATAGATAAGATAACTTTATTGCAGACTCGAGGTCCAGATCACAAGACAAGAACAAAATAAAATAAACAAGAGACAATAAAAACCTCTAAACTTTCAAGAGGCAGTCATACCAGTGTTTCCAAATCAGCGACGTGTAACGTACCTCGCTACACACAACACTGGACAATAAGATAATCACAGCATTTTTAGAATCACTCAGGCGACATATAAACTTAAACATCAAATTTCTCAGGACAGCTTGCAAAGTGTTTACTCTATTTGACACAAAAAGTTCACTGGCTCTGTTCCATCGGGGCTTTTTTAATAACATTCTCAATGCATCGTTGTAAGCAACTGTAAGTTTATGGAAGCTGGACTTTTTGTAATTGACCCACAGATGAGCTGTGTACAGATGTGAGCAGTAAGCTCAAAACAGAGCTAACTTCACCTGTACAGAGCAGGAGGAGAATCTCCGAGACAGAGTGTTCGCTTGTGCATATAACATCCGGCACGGACGATACATGTCCTTGTCATCGGTCAAATGGTCAATTATGATGTGACCGAGGTACTTGACAACATCACACACAGTCAAAATGTTCCCTGAGAGCCTAAAGTCCGGAAACCTCAGTGATCTGTCATCTTTAGTCCGGCAGATCATGATTACACTCTTAGAGGAGTTGTATTTCACATCATGAAGTTCCCCAAACACAGAGCAAACATTTAACAACAGCTTGAGACCGGCTGAGCTCGGGCTAAATACCACCAGGTCGTCCGCATACATTAAGTGATTAATTAAAGCACCACCAATCATGCAGCCAGTTTTGCACATATTCAGCTGCCTGGACAGGTCAAACATATAGAAATGAAAGAGCACAGGGGACAATAGGCTTCCCTGTCTCACACCATTAAAAGTCTGAAATGGTTCCGACACACATTTGTCCCATTTGACCTGCATAGTCTGATGAGCATACCAAAAATAAAGACATAGTAGTTTGAGGAGTCGTAATCCTATGACATTAATGTTATAGTCAAAATAAAGACTGTACAAATGGCAGCTTCAAAAGCACTTCCCTGTCCCGTTCATGGAACCTCATATACTCTTTTCAAATACTCTTTCACTACACAAATTATTTAATCAATTTCGCAACTGCAAATGTCTGTATGTAATTCATCATCACAAAGCCGAGTACAAGGGTCTTCTTTTCTACAATTATTTCCTGCTGAGAAGACTAGAACATAATTTCAACATTTCTGACAAATATTGTGAGTTATTTAAACAGCTTAATTTCTGAATTACCAACTTTGAAGCCCTGCTTAAACTATTCTAAGATAAAGAGAAAAAACAAGTTCAACAAGCACAGTAGAGAATTTGCTTGATGGATCAGATCTGTGTGGGGGGTCAGGGGCCACTCTGTACAGAGAGGCCAGTGCTAACAGGCCTCCTGCTCTTCAACTTGCTCTAGTACAAACTGTCCTCATACATGACCACCTCCTACACACACACACACACACGTAAAATCTATAAGAATTCTGAACAATATCAAGGCGTATTAAATGTGTTTGTTACAGTCACTGTATGCTGAAAGGACAGTAGAGCTAAGCCTAATATTTAAAACACTCATGGGAATTTTCTCTCCTTCTTACAATGGATCCCATTCAGTTTCATTAAAACGTATGCCTAGTTCACATAACAGGTAATTTGGGTCAATTTGGGCCTGATTCTCCCCTTCCCACAATCTTAAGGACGCTTTGATTATCTTATACAATTTTATAATGCCATATGTGTTGTGCTAGAACTGCTCTCCTCTTGCTCAAAAGGATTCAGGACTGCTCTGATCTTAAATAAGTTGGGTTGTTTTAGCACAAATTATCATCACGTGTATGGTGTCCTTGACTGACATGTAGCCAATCAGACATTGAGGTGATGAAGAGGAAACACCAAGAGCACAGAGGGAAATCTAAAATCTAAACAGCAGTCATAGCGCACCAGAAAGTCTGGGAGACGTGGGAAAACTCTCCTCCATAATGTAGCAGGGTTCTAACCAGAATTTTTTCACAGCATTGAATTCCCCCTAATCACTTTTTTCTTGATTGTATTGTGAGAAATTGAGTGCACTACATTTTCAAATTGCATTGCACTACAAATGGCATGGCTCCTATAGTAGTGCCCCATATAGGGTATAGTATGGCCATTGACACCTGGCTGGCTCAAGACCCTCAATTGTTTAAAAAATAATTTCAAATTAATGCAAAATCTTTTGACCTAATCTTCTTACTTTAGACCTACCTCAAATCCACAAAGATTTTCAGAAAAGAAGTCAGTGGCTTAAATGTGTTATTTACATTCATAATATTAGTAATTCAAACCCAGTATACAGCAAGCCAGTTTTGAATGTGAGAATACCTGCTAGTTCTAAATTATATGACGCATATATTATTATTAAAATAATTATAGCAGATAATGTGGGATAGTCGCGTTATTTCTTTCAGCAGTTGTGCTTACAAGCTTGAGAGGAACGAGAAGGGGGGAAATTTCCTAGTTGCACAACTTGTTTTTCACATCTTTGACCTGAAGACAGCTTAGCAGTTAAGAAAACTGTTGGTAATAATAAGATATAAGGCGACCACAAAAAACACTTTAAAGAAGTAATTCAACAAACAAGTTTGAGGATGGTCATAACCACACCAAATTAAACTACTATTTGAACAAAATTACACTATAATTACTTGCATAAATAACTGTTACCAATATTTACCAAGTCGTCAAAGACATTTGCTGCAGTGAATTAGGGCTGAACAAATATAAATTGAATTGAATCAATGCCAGAGACAAGTACCTGTATTTAGTAAGATAATACAGAAACAGATTTACAAGCTTCTATTTGTCCTATTCCAGAATTTTATTGAATATTGATTTTTGCTGTACTAGCTCATATTGGGCTTCTGAACATCACAGCAAAAAGGTTGGTCATCAAGCAGTTTTCAAGCCACTCTGTAATCAAGCACAGTGTTGAATTGTTCACAAGTTAACTGCTGTTTTCAAAATTGTCATGTAGTGATAGTGAGCAGAGCATAAGGCTGACATTTAAAAGTTACAGATCTCAGTGGGGTTAAAGGTAGGTGATAGCAGGGTAATGTGGTACATCAGGTAATGTGAGACACCCGCTATATCTAGGCAAAGGAATTTGCCTAGATTGCCCCTGCAGTTCCTCTATTCCCAGAAAGAATTGGTGGTGCTGGTGCTGTGTTGTTTTTTTTTTCATCCATCCATACATTTTATTGCCATTAATCATATCAACAGTTGTGTCAAAGCCATTAGATTTCAATGGAACGTCCCTATTAGTTGATGAGACAACTCTTTAGTCAACCAAGCATTCCTCTGATCCCTACAGCCTCCCATGATTCTGTGGGATAACTGAGACCAATTGATCTTGCTACATAGCTAAAACGTATGATAATGAATTCTAATGATAAAAGCGATGTGCTGAAGAAGCTGCACTAAAATAAGTGTGGAGAACCCACACACAGAGCGACTCTTAACCTTTCTATGGCACTCTGAGTGCTGCAAAGTAGAGTAGGGCTTGCTTTTGAGTATGAGGATAATGAGGATGAGGATAATTCAGTTACTAGTCTGACTTTCTTAGACATGTAGGTCAATATAGGCTCAACATATTTTTGTCAATGCAGTTATAATATAAAGTGGTTCACCTTACCCTGTTCATTTCTCTGGTTTGTCCCAGTTTATCCCATAGGTGGGTAGCGCTGGACAAAAGTTTTGTTTTTTCGTTTTTTTTTACAATCAGAACTCGAAAGGAGAAAATGTAAAGGATGTTCCACATTACCCCACGCTCCCCTAGATCCAAGAGTCAAAGGCATTCAACGTCATAGTATGAAAACAGATAAGTGCCATTAGAAAAATATTCTGAATGCTTACAATATATCCTTTAAAAATGAGTTTATATTTTTAAGCGTCTTCCCTTCTTGAGCAAATCTTTTCAAATGTACTGCCAACAACAAAAACATGTTGAAGATTGTAAGTAGAGGAACACAACTTTTTGACACATTTTCATAACCAAGATATCTGTATTTGCACATGAACTCATCATACATACTTAAAAATGACTTTGTAAGTAGAGGGGCGCGCACCGCAGTGTCACTGTCGCCTGGGGCCTGGCTGTGCTCATTGGGCCAATCCTGCTATACCCAGTTTAGACTCGCTGTGGCAGACCACCGTTGTCCAGTTACATCAACTAATCTGGCTCTGACGCTGGCGCAAACAGCACAGGCCTCTGGTCATATTTTAATCCATGGTTCAATCGTCTAGCTTTAAGGAACAAGGCAGGGGGCGGGACCATAAGTGCGTACGACGACAAAAGCCTGAAATGACCATCTCCTAATTAGACACAGACAAACCACGGAGCAAGCGTCAAAACAACAGGCGTCTCATAATCAAAGTTGATACGGTGGCGTTGTTACTGGGTTTATCATTGGACAACTAATAGTTATTCACGTCATAATCGATTATATTTAGCTTGAAGTTGAACCGATGAATCGAAAGATTGTTGTAATAATCATAGTACTGAAGTTATTCCTATTGTACTGAAACTATCATTAAATAACTAACAATACGTATTCATGCAAATCACCACTGCCACAAAGCTTATATAAAATCATACTCACTTTCCCCGTTGATCAGTCCACACTGGCATATTATGCAGGTGCTGAGGATCAGACACACTATTTGTGTTGAAAGTTTCGGCGTCCACCGTCCCATTTTGATTTAAGGATAGGTAGAGCCACTTTAAGAGGCTCTTAAAAACTCCAGTATCAGGTGTCTTAACTCTCCACAAGAAATGTATCTTGACACTTGTTTGAGTAGTCGAGGCGTGGGCTTAGTAGAGTTAGGCACAACACTAAATAATGTGATCTTGGGTTCTGGCAACACATGTATGAGTGAATATCTTCATCTTCCATAAGTGAAGGCGACAGTCCACGTTCATCTGTTTTGTTTGGTGCTTCAACATAAAACTAAATCAGATTACTTTTTGCAGCGGACTAAAGAGGTCCAATCGGTGGGTGTTCATTACAGTAGTTACAGTGAAATAAGAAAAGGTGATAAAGTCCGTAAATCCAACACACGCTGCACTTGTCGCCCAAATATCGTCTTTAAGAAACTGAGAGGTCTCCGAAATGGCCAGATAAATGCAGTTTCTCACCAGAACCTCGATTTAAAACGGGAGAGAACACATCCCAGGAAACGGATCAGGGCTACGTGCAGCTACGACCTTCCTCTGAACTCCTTCACCCCCGCTGACCACCACGCCACAAGCCACTCAGCCGCCAGAAACGCTGCAACTGAATCAAAAAGAGAGCGAAATGCGGTCTGTATCCGTTCACTGTGTGTGGAAAATCGAAGAAAACATAGGCAGTGTTGATCCCCCACGCTGCAAATGTAAAGGGAAACTCCAACACCCGTTTCTTTTTTCAGTCTGAGCGGTTTGGAAAACAGCTAATGCTAACGCGCTAGCTAATCCAAAACAACAGCTCCACGGGCGCGCGTGAGTTCGAGCTACGTGACGCAGACAAAGTATCTATTCCGTGCCCGATTGTTTAAAATAGTAATGTAAACGCACATAAAAAATACTTTAAAAATACGGGTCAAGTGTCAAAACGTGGATTCCCGTCCGTATAGCGACTGTGCTCTCCCCTCGGTACCTCCTCTTTCCGTCTCTCCACAGTAAACAAGTCCTGCCAGTCCTCAGCTGGGCCGCGAGGCGACGCAAAACCCGGACTGGATCAACGCAACGGATGTGCCCAGTGTGGACCTGGCCTGGTGCTGCTACTGGAAAGGTGACATTTATTTATATATTCAATTTCAAACAATTAATGTCCAATGGTACAATTGAAAAGGAGCAGAAATGATACAATGATCTACAATGATCTGTAAAGATGGACTAATACACTCCCTATAACTTGCTTAACCTTTTCTCATAACATTTTACAAACATGATTCTAATTATGTTTAGTAAACACGTTTGCAGAACATTTGATCTCAAAATTCTATCATTACGACGTGATAAGTAAGCCACAGCAACTGTGGTTATTGTCTTGTTTTGTTACAAGATCTGGGTCACCATCTATCCATTTTCTTCCGCATCATCCGTTGCCGGGTTGCGGGGGCAGCAGTCCAAGCAGAGACGCCCAGACTTCCCTATCCACACACAATTCCTTCTAGCTCATCCGGGGGGACCCAAGGAGTTCCCAGGCCAGCTGAGAGACAAAGTCCCTCCAGCGTGTCCTGCGTTATCCCCGGGGCCTCCTCCCAATGGGACGTGCCCGAAACACCTCCTCCCACTCAACGGAGGAAGCTCATTTTGACCGCTTGTATCCGCAATCTCGGCCTTTCGGTCATTACCCAAAAGCTCATGATCATAGGTGATGGTAACGCTCCATCCTTCCCTCACTTGTGAACAACAAGACCCCGAGATACTTGAACTCCTCCACTTGAGGAAGGACCTCTCCACCCACCTGGAGAGGGCAAGGCACCTTTTTCCGGTCGAGCGCCATGGCTTCAGATTTGGAGGTGCTGATTCTCACCCCAGCCGCTTCACATACGGGTGAAAACCGTCCCAGTGCATGATGCAGGTCCTGGTTCGTTGGAGCCAACAGGACAACATCGTCTGCAAAGAGCAGAGAGGAAATTTTGTGGTTCCCGAACCGGACCCCCTCCGGCCCCTGGCTACGCCTAGAAATTATTTACATAAAGACAGAGTTCTGGGTCAACTCCAAACGTAATCACTGGTTCATTGTGCCATCATGGATGTTTTCCTGTTTTTTTCCAAATTCTCCTATAACATTTTTTATTTATGGCACAACAAACAAATTTGATATATATTTTCACATTTTATATGAATAGTTACTTCAATCTAAGCAATACATTGTAGTATTTGATCATGCAATTTAAGTTTTAAGTAAAATAAATGTGTCTTTCTGTTGCACCTTTTGATATGTAATTTAAAAGACAATTATATGGAAACTAGCTATTTGTGAAATGTGGTAAAGCCATCATTTTCATGTCACTCCATTTTTTTATATATGTATATATATATATATAATTATGCAGCTAAAGAGATACTGTAGTGTGTATGTGTGTGTGTAGCAATTAGATATGTGGTCTATTGCCCACTTCACACACATTACTATATTGTAATCAAATTGGGGTAAAATATGCACACAATCTATCTATGGTTGACGAAGGCTTGTTCTTCTGGAGAATGTTGTTACCCCGTGAACAGTGTAAATTAGGTTTTTACTGAGATTAAATGTCACAGGTCTGAAGGACTCAGGGTCGTGGAATCTAGTCAAAATAGATCTTTTTGTGGTACACACATTCCTCTTCCCTCACTCTCCCCTCTTGAGTAAATGACTTTTTCTCTCAATAACCTACAGTGCTAAAACACAAGCTCAACTTATCACACCAGTACCCCCAGCTGCCAGCCGCTCACGCTGTTGTGCTATGACTTCTGTTCCGTAGGTAGCACAAAAATAATATCCACACTCCAAAGGTAATTTACAGATGAATACAGATAAAGAGATACATAACAGAACAAATACGTATTACTTGATTAGGATTCTAGCTTTCTGGTATGCTAATCAACTCATGAGTGTGAAATGGGGCAATGCTCTTTCAAAAAGTTTTTATGTGTGTAATGGTGTGTAATGGCCTCCTTTCTCCTTTTTATTTAATATATATGTTGATGATTTGTCCACTGAATTGAACATGTGTAAAACATGGTGTGTCATGGGAACCACCGTAATCAACCATCTCATGTATGCAGACAATCTTGTTATCATAAGCCCTTACAGTGCAGGCATGCAGGGACTGCTACAAGTGTGCTCAGCGTATGGTGTGACGTTTGACATAAAATACAATCCAACAAAGAGCAACATGATGATTGTGAGAAGCAGAGAGGGTAAACATTTGACCTTCCCTGACTTTCAGCTCTGTGGTCAGCCTCTTTCCGTCTCCAAAGAGACAAAGTATCTGGGACACTTTCTCACAGATGACTGGCGTGATGACAGAGACATTAAAAGACAGTGCTGTAAACTTTATGCCCAGGCGAACACACTGATGAGGAGGTTCAGCATGTGTTCTTATCCTGTTAAATGTACTCTGTTTCGAGCGTACTGCACTCCGCTGTACACAGCTCCTCTGTGGACCAAGTACAGTCGCAGGTCCTTCCACAGACTCACGGTGGCATACAATGATGCCTTCAGGCTGCTGCTCCGGGTGCCCAGGTGGCACAGTGCCAGTGAACTGTTTGTGAGAGCCCACATTCACACCTGTGAGGCTCTGATACGGCATCTGACCTTTCGGTTCAAGGAACGTCTGGAGGACTCTAAGAACGGCATTATTCGGACTCTGACCAACGGTAGAATGAGCTCATGTCGCTACACGTCTGCTCTGAGAAAGCACTGGACAGATACACTTTATCATATTTAAATCTGCTGGAAATGATACTATATATTTGAATGCATTATTTTTTGTATGGACCAATTTTATCTTGAGTCTGAAATAAAGATTAATAATAATTAACCTTTATTCAACCAGGAAACCCCCATTGAGATTACATTTTATTTTTCAAGGGAGTCCTGGCCAAGAGGCAGCAAAGTTACAGACAAACCCAACAGACAGGTACAATTACATCAAAAATGACAGGTACACACATCAAGCAAAACAATTACAGGTAATTGAGGACATCTCAAACTCTGAGTTTTGATTTAAAAGCATTAAATACTTGTTCATCTGTAATGTATTTAAACAATATTAGAAAATGCCATGACAGTTGCTCTGAGTACAGCTATGGCCTTAGCCTATGGCTAATGTCATCAGACGGTACCAAACTTTCAGTTGGTGTTGCGACCCGTTATTCTAACACCCTCTGGTTTATGAACATTGATTTTTAATTTACCCCACAAGTATAAATTCAGGGGCATAGACAAAAAACAAACAATAGATATTTACATCTAATCAAAATCGTAAAATCTAATCTAAACATACAACCCAGGATTATTCAATTTATATAAACAGTGTCCATCAGCTGACAGCAGCAGGGATAAAATGGTCTGATGAGACCTTATCTCCATGGATGTCCTTGAAGATGATGGTTCTTGGTGTGGATGATGTCCTCAAACAGACCCACTACCCTATACTCTGAAGGACAGGTCAGTCCTTAAGTCCTGGTCTCCCTGAGGCTTTGAAGGACCGGTTGGTCCTGAAGTCCTGGTCTCCCTGACCAGGACTGCTGAAAGAGCAGTCGGTGACAGATCTCCCTCATCCATGGTGGCGGTGAGGCTTTTTCACTTCGCCAGCGGCCAGGGCGCTCCTGTGGAGTACTTGGTGATGAGCAGCCCTTGAAGCCTTTTCTCTTGGTTCAGGCCATTTTCTCTGATCTGGTTCAGTGTAAAACCCAGAACACTGTTTTGGAAGAAAATTTACAGATAGATACAGGCAAAGCAAAAAACAACTGTTTCAGAGCTGCTTAGGACAGGCTGCTGTTTCCAGTACATTCAAAATCAAATGTATTAACATTTACAGACATTGGCCTATTACCCTATGGATCAATGACTCTGTTTCTCTACGCTGTTGTTGGCAAATTGACAATTCTGACACTTCTCCTGTTGTTGTTTTCTTTTAAGCTACATACAAACCAACCATTGAACAGAACATGGCTCCAGTGTGATTGTTTTAAAGTGATAGTCTGGAACTCTAAA